GATATCACTGACTAATGAAATGTAAGAAGACTGACTGGATATCACTGACTAATGAAATGTAAGAAGACTGACTGGATATCACTGACTAATGAAATGTAAGAAGACTGACTGGATATCACTGACTAATGAAATGTAAGAAGACTGACTGGATATCACTGACTAATGAAATGTAAGAAGACTGACTGGATATCACTGACTAATGAAATGTAAGAAGACTGACTGGATATCACTGACTAATGAAATGTAAGAAGACTGACTTGATATCACTGACTAATGAAATGTAAGAAGACTGACTGGATATCACTGACTAATGAAATGTAAGAAGACTGACTGGATATCACTGACTAATGAAATGTAAGAAGACTGACTGGATATCACTGACAAATGAAGTGTAAGAAGATTTTGACTTGATTTCACTGACTAATGAAATGTAAGAAGATTTTGACTTGATTTCACTGACTAATGAAGTGTAGTTCAAAAATAAAAAAATCATTCTATAAGTCAATGTGGGCTTTATAGAGTGAGGAGTTACCACACCAGATGCCTGGTTTTTGTGTTTGAAAAATTGCTATAGATATGCCTTACATATTTTAATTAGAACATTTACTGTCTGTGCTTTTATTTGTTATGCTGAGATGACTAGTGTAATCTAAACACAACAATTTGATTCAATAAAAGAATCTTATCTTATAATTCTGAGATTCTGTCCAATGATAAACAAAATATATTTTTTAAAAAAAAATTAAAAATTAAGCGACAATCAATTAATGAAATTCTCAACAAAAAATTATTTTTTTTAGATTCTTGATTTACCTGTTAGTGTTCATACTCTGGTATTTTGTGAAAACATTTTTACTTCTGTCCAGTTTGTAAATGGTGGAGTTGGTCCAGTAGCTGTCAATCTCTTGAAAGTTTTGGCTGCCAAAATTGAAGGCATTGGCCACCACAAGGTAATGGTCCACGCCAATTCTAAAATATTACCAATCTGTAGCTCCGACTGTCTGGAGGGTAAATACTCAATTTCTTAAATATTTGTGTGTATATTTTGAGTTGTTAGCAAATTACACTGTTATAAATTGACAGATAATTTATTTATTGATTCTCTTATTTCCTAATGCTTTGAGAGGCATGTTAATATGATTTTTTTAAAGTACTTAGCCCGTATTTTATATTAGATATATATTTTATATGTATTATATATATTTTATATTGTATATATATTTTATATTGTATATATATTTTATATATATTTATAAATATTATATATAGATAAATAAATATATATATTTATAAATAAATAATATATATTTTATATATAGTTATATATATTTTATATTGTATATATATTTATAGACTTTTTATATTTAATATATATTTTATGTCTTCACAAAGTTTCAGTTGTTTAAACGGTTGATGGTTCCCAGAAAACCAAACCCATGACAGGAGAACCCACAGACAAGTGAACCCACGGACAAGTGAACCCACGGACAAGTGAACCCACAGACAAGTGAACCCATGGACAAGTGAACCCACGGACAAGTGAACCCACAGACAAGTGAACTCACAGACAAGTGAACCCAAAGACAAGTGAACCCACAGACAAGTGGACCCACGGACAAGTGAACCCACGGACAAGTGAACCCACAGACAAGTGAACCCATAGACAAGTAAACCCACGGACAAGTGAACCCATAAACAAGTGAACCCACAGACAAGTGAACCCACGGACAAGTGAACCCACATACAAGTGAACCCATGACAAGTGAACCCACAGACAAGTGAACCCACAGACAAGTGAACCCACAGACAAGTGAACCCACAGACAAGTGAACCCATAGACAACCGAAAGCTGAGGAAACAGTGATGAGCTTTCAACTCCAAGACAGTGATGAGCTTTTAGCTCCAAAACAGTGATGAGCTTTCAACTCCAAAACAGTGATGAGCTTTTAGCTTTAAAACAGTGATGAGCTTTCACACTCCAAAACAGTGATGAGCTTTTAGCTCCAAAACAGTGATGAGCTTTCACACTCCAAAACAGTGATGAGCTTTTAGCTCCAAAACAGTGATGAGCTTTTAGCTCCAAAGCAGTGATGAGCTTTTAGCTCCAAAGCAGTGATGAGATAGACGTAATTCTTTTAGAATCTATCTGTCTTACTATCTTTACTGAGAAAGTGAGACTTCAATATTTGACCGGCAAAACAATTTTTTGACTAGTGAGACGCAAACAATTTGTCTAAATAAAACAATATAAGTTCAGCTTTAATAATGACTATACAGAATACAAATGTATATGTTTCTGCAAATGCCTTCATCAGTATAACAACAACGAAAAAAAAAAAAAATTCATATAAGTATACATTAAATTGTCATAATATAATACTCTATATACATGTATCCCAATTAAAAAGAAAAGACAAGAATAAGAGTGGGCAAAAGTCCCTGACACAGACAAAGCTCAGAAGAACAGAAACGAAATGGGTGGAAGTAAAATTTAAAAACCCCCCAAATTTTTTTATTTTTTACTTAAAGCTGAAGCTAATTAATTGAGCCAATGATTGTTTAATGCCCCACTACACTAAAAAACTTATATTATAAAAATTAGCAGCAGTTTTGTGAGGAAAAGTGTTGATGCTAAATATGATTATACTAGATTAGATGGTTATAATATAGCTTTTATTATCATATTAGATAGGCTATAACATAGCTTCAATTACTAAATTAAAAGGTTGTAATATAGCTTCTATAATTATATTAGAAGGTATATGGCATAGCTACATTTACCATATCATATGGGATATAACATAGCTTACATCTTCCATTGTAGTTAAAAAAAAATATTTAATATCCAAATGTTTTTCATTTTCATGGATAGCAAGAAACCCCAATGACATGAACCCCTCGGAACACATCAGTTTACAAATCCGTTGGATCCATCCATTGTGAAGGTAATTATATTTCATTTGCTAAAATTTAGCATCAAACAAAATGAAACAATCATAATAAAACTATTTGTGAGAGAATGAAGTCGTTGTCCTAATTAATATCTTTTACATAAATTCAAAAATTGATTACCTTGAGCATGATTGGCAATGGCCAGATAATAGTCACCATTTATTTCAATGGCCTCAATGTCCCTTGCCGTGTAGGTCTGGATGTTTTGGTAGACGACAAACTTGCAAGATTTCTTGTTCCACTTGAAAATTGTGGAATTGGACGGGACAGATTTCAAGGATCCATAATTTGCCACTGCAAGGAAAAACTGAAATTCAAATTGTGTAAAAAATCAAACTGTGTCAGTTTTAAAAAAAAAAATACTTTTGTCAGAATATAAAATTATTGATTCTGTTTGGAATGTCATTAATTAATGGAGCACAGTGAGTTTAAATGTGATATTCTTATAACAGAATTATATTCATTTTATTTACTCTAATAATGTGCTGATTTAGCTGAATGCCTCAACAGGAACAGAGTTTAAATACAGTCAGTGATCTACAAGAGGGGATCTACAGGCGGGGATCTACAGGCAGGGATCTACAGGTGGGGATCTACATGCAGGGTTCTACCAGCAGTGATCTACAGGCAGTGATCTACAGAGGGATCTACAGGCAGGGATCTACAGGCAGTGATCTACAGGCAGTGATCTACAGGCAGTGATCTACAGGCAGTGATCTACAGGCAGTGGTCTACAGGCAGTGAGTATCTACAGGTGGGAATCTACAGGTGGGGATCTATAGCTGGGTATCTGCTGGCAGGTATCTACAGGTGTGGATCTTCAGGTTGGGATCTAAAGGAGGGGATCTACAGGCAGGGATCTACATGAAGGGATCTACAGATGAGGATCTTCAGGTGGGGATCTCCTCCCTTCTCATTTATCAATAACAATTTGTTTAATTAAATGAAAAACAAACAATTCACAAAAACATAACACTGCCAAGACCAATGTCTCAACACTTAAGAGAGAGCTATAGTTTTTAGGGCAGTGTTTTTTTTAATTTTGGGCATCTGACTTTATTGTCAAAGTTCTGAGTGATCAGCTAGGCTGGCTCATCTTAAGAGTCGGGCCATTCAATAAGATTTTATCAACATACTGGTCACAAGTTTATGCATTATGCCACTTATCAAAATCCAAGCCACATATTTTTAAAAATATTAGATCATGTGCTACCAGCTGTGGACATATTGAAAAGCAGTCATTGCTTAATCTGATTTTCTAGTAGATTTTAATAAACAAGTGACAAATTTAACTGCATCGACACTACTACTCACCTGGCTATGGATAGAGAAAAACTCCCAGGACTGGGCTGACTGGGTGAACAGCCACTGGTAGAATGTGAACTTACCATTGACCCACTTATACATCCTTGACCTTAAACAAATAAACAAAATCTGTTTTAAACTTAAATTACAATATTTCTAAGATTGTTTCACTTTACAAGCTAAACATTTTTAATTATTTTCAATATTAAATAAATAACAGTTACATCAGGATTTCTCAACCTGTAACCCAGGGGCCTCCCTAGGGTATTTGCCATCCATGACAATTTAATTTAGCTATTGTTCAATTTTAGGGATACTTTTAAAGACTTTGTAGTGCATAATTAGGATGCGTGTTTAATGCCCTTGCAAGTAAAATTCAAATTCATATTTTATTTGTTTCATCATTCCAAGGCTCGATCCAATTTCAGTGATAGTTACACAGTACAAACAGTTTAGAATTTCTCCAATTATTACCTTCTATAGTTCTCACTTAATCAATTGTGACAAGATCAAATATTCTCTTCTTTATGAAACAGAAATTTAAAAAAAAATTATTAATGAGATTGCCTATTATTCTCAATGAGTTCATTCACTCTATCTGCTTGACATGATTTCTTAATCTTATGAAACAAAACATGTCTCCAACTTATCAAATTAATTTTAATATTACCGCAGTGAACTTCGATCCCTGGCATCTGTCAAGGCAAACACAGCAAATTTCCCTTCTCCAGGTAGGTCAAAAACTTCAACATCCAAAGACCCTTGTCCGGTATCCAAGACCTGGTGAGGCACCAGATAGTCCAGTCGCCTTTTATCTGAACATCAGTTATTGAATCATCAGATTGGATACAACAGACTAGCTTTAGTTTGATGCTGATCTTTTGATATAGAATATTTATTTTTTTTTTGTTTTTAAAGGGACTTTTATGATTGATCTCTATAAAGAAATAATTAAAACAATACTGATGCTAAATAACTTTGAATTATGTATAATATTCCCCGGTATAAATACAACTCCGGTAACAGTCATAATGTTACCAGTTGACAACTTACAGAATGAATACTATGGACACCTTGATAACATGGCTGTCCATGTTTACCTTAATAAACTTACCTGACTTGACCTTAATGTCGCGCCACACTCCATTGACACACACCTTCAATTTACCAGCATGGACATCAAAATCAATGTTGCCCACATCTGACCACTCACAGACTCCCCGCCCTGACTGGTGGTATGTTAGAGATGACAGACCTGAACACACAGGAGAACAATCAAATTGGTTAATGACAAAATAATAATGATATACTTTTCCTCATGTCATAAAACTTAAACATTCATAAGCTTGATGAACTGACTCTATTCAACAACACAACATGAAAAACAAAAATTATTTTTGTTATAAGAAGTGGGACAACTTTCATATCCATACTCAAAATTTTAAAAAAATGTTATTCCCCTTGCCTGGATGAACACTTAAAATCAGTTCAGTAGACAAAAAAAAA